CTCTACCAGCCCCAGCGTGCCAGTGGCTCACAATTCAACCTGGAGGGCTCACTAGTGTGCCTGGCACAATGCTAGGCTGGACAGGACAGGCAAAAAGGAGAAGGGACCCCCCAGGCACATTAAATCCTGCTGCCCACCACCCGCATTCATTCAACAAATGAGAACCTTCCATGTGCCGGGCGTGGTTTGAGAGGTTGGAGATTTATCAGAAAACGAAATGAACAAAAATCCCTCTGCAGAGCGTTTCATCTAGCTTCTTGCAAGGAGGCTGGTTGGGGGCCTGTGACTCATGCCCCCTGGGCAAGAACTCCGCTCCACTACATAGGGCTGAGACTCTGTTTACATACAGCCCTTCCTGTGACCCCAGTGCCCCTCAGTGCAGGCAGAGGTGACAGGAGGAGATGGCTGTGGGCCAAGGCCGAAAGTAATTCCGAAAGAAAGACCATTCTGCGCAGTTCTCAGACACTGATAGGACACCTACTACGTGCCAAGCTCAGTACTGAAGGCTTAGAAGATTCTTAGAGGAGTAAGATCTGGGTCCTACCCTAAGGGACAACATGGGAAAAAAGCCAAAGCCACTTTTGGAGGGGTGAGAGAAACTGTCCCCACTGAGAGAGGGAGGGAGTCACGGACCTGACTGGGCCCAGGTCAGAGTCCCCAGGGCTCCCCACAACCCTGCAGGTCTGTTGCTGTGATATCCTGAACAGCAAAGCAGGGCACAGCATCGGAGAGGACAATCCCATCTCTGTCTACACTGAGGTAACCCTATGGGCCCAACCAAGGTGCCAGAGCCCCACATCAAATTCTCCAAACGTTGGCATGAAAACGTGCCAGTCAACTCCTTGGACACGAAGTCCCTCTGAGGCATCAGGCCACCTGAGCACAGAGAGGCTCGTCACACCTTCTCAACTTTCAAATCCACTCCCCACCCTCTAGCAGTCAAGGTGTGTGGCTCAGGGGGGAGGCAGGAAGCCTGGCACGCTAGGGAGACCTACCAGCCTCCTGGCACCTCAGATCTCCCAGGGCTTCGGCTGAGCCCCGCCTCGTCCTGCATCTGCCCCGGGGACCTTCTTCACACCTGGGATATCTTCTTCATGTTCCTTCACCTCCTCCACGACCTCACCTCACGCGTTTAAGAACCAGACCCAGCTCCACTCCCACATCAGCCCCACCCTCATTGTGCCTCTGCCCCCTGCAGTGGTCTCCAGGTGGGGTACAGAGAGCACAGGGTCTGCCTCTGGGAGTCCCCAGGCCCCTTCCAAAGACCTGGTCTCAGGGTCCCATACCTCGTCCCGCCTCCACCTCCGTCCTCACGCCCTGTCTTCAGCCCCGGCCTCTGAAATCCTCTGCCTCCCCTAGAGAGCCAAAGGCTCCATATTCTCTCTTCTGAGAGGTCTAAGGCAGACTGGAAGCAAAACACGGATATGGGGGCGCTCGGGTGGCTCAGTCGGTTAAGCATCCGACTCTTGGTTTCAGCTCAGGTCATGATCTCCCAGTTGGTGAGTTGGAGCCCCGCGTCGGGCTCTGTGCTGTTGGTGCAGAGCCTGCTTGGGATTCTCCCTCTCACCCTCTCTCTGGCCCTCCCCCGCTCACGCTGTCTCTCTAAATAAATAAACTTAAAAAAAAAAAAAAAAA